TCAATGTGGTTTTGATTTGCATTTCTGTGATGATTAGTGAGGCTGAGCACTTTTTCATGAGTCTGTTGACTGCCTGTATATCTTTTTAAAAAATTTTTTTATTTTAAAGATGTGGGGTGCAATTCAGGGTTAGGTCTGCAAATGTTTATTATGCAAGTACCCTTGTTGATGAGGTTGCCCATATATTTTCTTTTAAGAAGTGTCTATTCATGTCTTTTGCCCACTTTTTAATGGGGCTGTTTGTTTTTTTCCTTTTAGCATATTTGAGTTCCTAGTATATCCTGAATGTGAGGCCTTTGTCAGATACACAGTTGGCAAATATTTTAATATACCCAAAGGAACTCAGATCATTCTGCAGAAAAGATACCTACACACGCATGTTTATTGCAACACTAGTCACAGTAACAAAAACATGGAACCAACCGTGCTGCCCATCAAAACTGGACGGATAACAAAAATGTGGTGCATATATCCTATGGAATATTGCACAGCCATAAAGAAGGACAAACAAATGGACTTCGTAGCAACTTTGATGGATTTAGAGTCGATCATACTCAGTGATCTGTCACAGAAACAAAGAACAGAGTACCACATATTCTCACTCATAAGCAGACCCTGACCAGTTACCATAATACTATAAGAAAGGAATTGGCGGTAGCAGGATACTGCTGGGGTAGGGGGCAGAGAACACAACATCAATAAGGATGCCTGATCTCAAACCAGGCAAAGTGGGAACCAAAGGGAGGCCCAAACTTTACTTGCACGATGACCACTTGTATACCTAATCCTGAATTGTACCCCATACCTTTAAGAAAAAATCATAAGAGACCCTTAGTAATCAAAATCATCTTGGAAAAAAAACCAAGTTTTAAGAACTCACTTCCTTATTTCAAAAGTTACTACAAAACTACAGATCTAAAATCATTGTAGTACTGGCATAAAGACAGACACATAAACTAATGGAATAGAGTTAGAAGTCCAGAAATAAAACCATGGGTCTATTGTTGACTGATTTTTGACGAAAGTGCTGAAACTATTCAGTGGGAGAAAGGACAGTCTTTTCAACAAATGTTGGGTGAGAAAGCTGCATATCTATATGCAAAGAATGCAGTTAGACCCTTATTTAGCAACATATACAAAAGTTGCTCAAAACGGATCAAACCCTAGACTTTATGAAAGTTAAAAACTTTGTGCATAAAAATACTCTGTTAGCCAGAGTAAAATATTAGCTCATAGAAAGGAAGAAAATATTTGCAAATCATGATAAGGGACTAATATCCAGAATACATATACAACCTCTAACACTCAATAATAACAAAGACTTGATTCTAAAATGACCAAAGGAGCCGGGCTCAGTGGCTCAGCCTGTAATCCCGCGCCTTTGGGAGGCTGAGGTGA